CCGCGAGTGGGGGGCGATGGCGAAGCTCCGGGTGGCTTACGAGTACACGGAAGCCGAGGACAAGAGCATCCGGCTCGGCTTGTTCCTCATCATCTCCGGCGTCGTGTCACTCTTCATCTTCGGCTTCTGCTGGCTCAGTCCCGCCTTGCAGGATCTGCAAGCCACGGCGGCGAACTGCACGGTGCTGTCGGTGCAGCAGATCGGCGAAGTGTTCGAGTGCACCTTCACCTGTGGCGCCGACTGCAGAGGCACCTCGCAGTACCCCTGCGTCCAGGTGTACGTGAACAACTCCGAGTCCAACTCCCGGGCGCTGCTGCACAACGACGAGCACCAGCTCCTGGCCAACCCCAAGGTAGGGACGCCTGGGCGCGCGCGGGCGCGCTCCGGCCCGAGGGGCGGGGGCCGAGGTCTGCGGGTCGGAGGGCGTCTCCGGGGGCAGAGCCCGCGCGGGGCGTGCTTGGCGCGCGCTCAGGTTCCTAAGCGGTGGCGAGGAGGCTTCTGGGTTTGTGCTCCGGTCCGGAGCCGCGGGGCTCTGGGCTTCCCTTCAGGTGTGTGCTGAGACTTCTTTTTTAACCTACCTACCTGTCCAGCCAGGACTTGTATTTTTGAGACCAAGGCCCAACCCAGGTCCGGCACCTGCAGGACTTGGTTTGGTGAAATGTATCCAGCGGAAACTTTACTTTTCTTTGGATTAAACCTGTGGGTCACCAGGACGCACAGAGCTAAACGGACTGCGTGAGGAGCGCATGTGGAATGGCATCGGTTCGCACTAGAGGCGGCCTGTTGCCCCTTGAAAAGGGCTAGGGAATTCCTTCCCTTTTCAATATGCGTGTCTAGACTTGTGTTTGAGCGTGGGGTTCAAAGAGGAGGTGCGGGAAATGGACAGACGTTCTGGAGTCAAGTGTAGGTTCATTTCTGACCAGGACTGAGGGCACCGGGTTTTCATGAAATAGATTCTTTAAAAGGCGTGAAAGGAGCTTGGGGACTTCCTTGGGGTCCGTGGGGGCGGTTTGGGGATCTGGGGAACTAACGGAACAGAGAAAACCTCAGACATTTACAAAATAACTCTGCCCTGAAAACTTTTTTCTGTCCCACAAGCAAAAAGAGAAAGAAAGAACCGGGTTGGACTGAGGGATGCAGGGCAGGAAACGGGAGACTGTCCCCAGCGGATACCAATCTTAAAAAAGCCCTGTCCTCAGCGTGTGAACCAGTTTGAGAAATCGTGGTGCACCTGGTTTTGTGTCTGTTGGCCTTCATCTCCACCTTGGTTGCCTCCCTGTCAAAGTAAAGATTTGTATCTTTATATTTGCTGACATTCCACTCACTCCTAGTGAGGGCAGTTGTTTGACGATTAAATAGGAAAATCGCTTACAAGGGAATGAATCTCTGTACCCAGGGCAATTTGCTATTAGATGGGACAAGCTATCTTGATGCTAATTCAAAAGGGGGGAAATAGCCACATTTTCTTTCTTTTATAAGTTTTACAAATAAGCTTGCTTTTATGTCCAAAACATTACATTCTTGAATATGAGAACATAAAAAAGTCCGGGATTGTTTCTATTAAAAAAATGCTCCTACCTACAAATGAACGTTTCTGTAAAAAAAAAAAATGAGGATGATACATAGTTAGAAAATAATAGACAAATTTAGAGCTATAGAAGTCAGCTCTGGTAAGAAACTCAATGAGGATAAGAGTACATTATTTAAGTCCCTATACTCTAACCTCAATAACTTCTAAAAGACAGAAGTCATTCAATTTGCCTGATGAATTTTAAAAGAACTTTGAAGACTTTAGATATATCTTTTTCCCCCCAGAATTAAATCAAAACTATCAAAGAAAAGAGCCCATACTAAGAATGATTTAGACATTATATCGTAGTTCATCATATGGGAGGCATTGTTATAGTTGGAGGAACATTGTTGATTATTTAAAGGTAGTGATTCAGAGTATAATACATTGTATGCACTTACTCCAGTAAATTAAATGTACACATGACAGTAAATTGCTAATACCTAATCAATATCTGATCTAATGTGAAATCATGACAAATTAGAATTTACTACGAAAAGGTTGCTTCACTGTTTCCAGGTAATATTGAAGGACTTGACAGAAAAAGCTAATTGGGATAATTAGGACATAGATTTTTAAACCACTTGGAAGTAGTCCCAATGCTTTATGTAATACTAAGAATCTCTCTTTAAAAAAAAAAAAAGAGAGCAGTCTGCTTTTTTGTTTTGTTTTGTTGTTGTTGATTTCCCGTACCAATTCAGACCCCAGCAGCAGTTGGCTTAAAGAATTACCTGAACCAAATACCATTTTATAAAGTACAGTGCAGTGCTCAGGAGATGACAGAACAAGAGAAAGGTGTATTTAGGTATACCTGCCAAGTTAGTAAAGATTCCTCAGCTAAACCATTATATAGTTCTTTATCCAAATTATGATTTCATTGGATCATTTATGGAACATAAATTTGTTCTTTAGCTTGTCACCTTTTTACTTCAGGTCTGTTAGTGCTCATTTTAGAAGTTCTTGTAGAGAATTAGGAATGGGAAAATTCAACATAACCCAAACATTGTGCCACAAGCAAAATGATGCTACTTCATGATTACTCAGCTCCCCTTTCTTTCTGTCCTCGCTTGGCCGCTTTTGTAAAGGCCTAGGTGCCTTACCCTTTGTAGAATGTCAAGATTCTCCAGTGTCATGGATCCTAAATACCATCAATGTTCTCCTCTTGGTCTAGCACCACAAGAACTCATTTAGAAGTTTTTAGAGAAATGGAACAAAAAATTCTGTTAGGGTTTCCCCTTACCGTGGGGTTTTGTTTTTTGCATGGAAAGACAGGGAAGGGAAAGGGATGTTCCACCTTCCATAACTTCATACCATCCCCGCTACACTCACTGCCCCAGTCGTTTCAGACTCATACCGACGGTGAGCCTGCACAGGGACAGACCACCTCATCTTTCTCCCACAGAGTCGCTGGCTGGTGGGTTCTGAGTGCCAACCAGGAACCTTGTGGTGAACAGCCCAACACGTACCCAACAGTCCCACTGGATTCCTGTGCAATAAAAACCAACCCCCACTGACACGTGGTTGTCGAGTCCATTCTCACTTGACCTCATATCGGTTTCCGTTATCTGTGGGAGCAGATAACCTCGTCTTTCTCCCTCAGCTAGGCTGGCAGGTCTGAATTGCGACCTTGCAGTTCAGTGCTTATCCTGCAGCACCACCAGGGCTCCTCTGAAGCCATCGCACTGCCCTCGAGTTGACACGGACCTGTAGCGCCCCTATAGGACAAGGTGGAACTGCCCCTTGCGAGTTTTGAGACTGACTCCATAAGGGGGTAGAAAGCCCGGTCGTTTTCTTGCAGTGCTTGGTGGTTACTTACCTGACAGTTAGCAGCCCAATTCATAACCACTGTGACCCCAGGGCTCCTTCTTAAGTCGTTGATCACTAACCAAAAAGAGAAAAACGTCCTGTGAATAAAACTGACTTTTGACAATAATTTCTTGAAAATATACTTAAGTCCTAATGAATTTGTTGTCTAAACCAATGATTGTATCCAGCTGTGTAATGTAAAATTGAAGCTGACTACTTAGTGATAGGGAAACTGTCAATTTCTTGGCCTTAACGATAGCAGAATTTCAGCTTCATGTTAGCATCTTGCTCCTGTTTCCATCACTGTATTATCACGCTGTGACTCACGGTTCTGTAGAGGGGGGAAGAGTGGTTCCCAATTGTGAGTCGCACATTAATTAGAATCACCTGGGAAACTTAAAAATAAAATGACATTTGTCTGTGCTTCTGGGGTTTGGTGTTCGGCTTTTTGGTTGTGTTGAGAATATACACAGCACAACACACCGGTTCAACTGTTTCTACATTTGAAAAAACTGATTATGTTCTTTCAATTGTGTGACTGTTTGAACCCTCCCTTCCTGAGGTGTTCTTCCCCATAAACATAAACTCAAACTGGCCTTGTAAAGTTCTAATTTTTTTCTGTGACTGTTGTCACTTTGATCCTATATAAGTGCTTAAAAGAGCATAATGCTCAGTGCAGACATTTTTAAACAGTTAAGCTAAACTACTATTTGATTTTAAGTGGATGGTTTCAGTTTAGGATTTAAAGATTATCTTAGGGTTATCTAGAGCATCGGTTCTCAACCTGTGGGTCTTGACCCCTTTGGGGGGTCGAACGACCCTTTCACATGGGTCACCTGATTCACAACAGTAGCAAAATTACAGTGATGAAGTAGCAACGGAAATAATTTTATGGTTGGGGGTTCACCACACGAGGAACTGTATTAAAGGGTTGCACGGCATTAAAAAGGTTGAAAACCACTGTTCTAAGGAGCCTTCATGACTCCAGAAAGTCTAAATCCCAGGAGAATTTCAAGTTCTATTCTGTATTTTACCCCCTTTTGATCATGATACCGCTATAGAATCCTTGATCAGAATGTTCATTAATGGTAGGTGGGCACCATCCAGTTCTTCTGGCAAAGGTTCCAGTTGTTCACGGAGGCAATAAGCCACCCATTCTATATTCTTCTCCTATTCAGACTCTCCTTCTCTTGCTCCAGGCAAATAGAGACCAGTTAGTTAGTGTGCCTTGGATAGCTGCGTGCAGCCTCTTCAGACTCCAGGCACACTGCAGCAATGAACCACGGGATAGAACAGAAGCACTAAACACTTTATTAGGACAGTTAACTGAGATGCCTTGTGAAATCATGAAACGTGCTTATGATGTTTAATGGCATCCCACCACCTTATGACAACAGAAAGCAAATGTGTGGTTTCTGTTGCCCTCAGAGTTGAGTGGTTAAAACCTGCATGCTAGTGTGCCTCCCTGGGCCACCGAGCTGATGAGGTGAGTTGAAAGTACCAGGCAGTGGAGCTACCCTGCAGGAGAAGAGAAGAAGTAGACCATGAGGCTGCAGAGACAGAGTGAGAAGAATGGGTAGAGGGTCTCAAGACTCACAGACATAAAGGAATGCAGCCCTGGCTATCTGAAGAATGTGCCACAGATAGGACAGCCCGGGCCCGAAGGCATTGGGGGCCAGGCCTCTGTGAGGGGCAAAAGCCCAAACCAATCCCATTGGCATCAAGTAGTGCCGACTCATAGCCACCCTTTAGAACAGGTTAGAACTGCCTGAAATTCTTTATGGGAGTAGAAAGCCCTGTCTCTCCCAAGGAGCAGCTGGTGGTGTTGAACTTGCAACCTTGAAGTTAGCACATAACCCCTGCACCCTCAGGCTCCTGAGAGCAGGCCAGAGAACAGTAGAGAATGAGGTTCCGGCCCTATACAGTGGAGACTTTGGGCTTTATTCCAAGCATGATGGTAAGCTATCGCACATTGT